GACATTCCCTTCTTCTCCTTTCAGTGCTTGTGACAATGTGTGTGTGACTCTAATCCGGTCTTCTCTTCGTAGCCCAAAAGGATGCTTCAAGGACTGTGGGTGCACCGCTTTTCAGGCAGGTCTGTAATGACACCTGGCGTTCAGTCTGGGAACATGATGATGATTGTGTCCCCTGCTCCGGTCTTGTGAGAATTCAAGTGTGAGCAGCCTGGCTGAAGAGGGAAACAGAGATTCTTGTTTCTAGATCTGCTCAAAGGACCGGGACAGCTCGTTTTGCAGGCTCTGCATTCCATGTGCCTCAGCGGTGTGACTGGTGCAGGATGGCTAAACTGATAACCTGGTAGAGCCCCAGTCTTCATCCACTCCAAGGCTTGTTGTATGGTAGGCATAGACAACCCGAAAAATTTTGGGCACCAAGCCACCATATCAAAGTATGTTGTATGCATAGAAAGCAGCTCATCTCTCGCTCCCTCTCTGGAGAGGGACTATTCAGAGTTGAACCAAAGCACATTTCGTTAATAAACACTAATTGCCACCTATCATCAAGCACACAAGGCCATTTTCTCCTATTTTCTAAATTCAGAATCCCCACTGCAGCCTCTGAAGATCAGAACAGGCTCAATTTTCCATGCAAATAATTCGCCTCTGATGTTGACCCAGGATTTTCATAACAATTAGAGACAGTACAGGGCTCCCGGGGCCTCGAGATGCCCTGCGGTACCCAGCTGGCCCTTTCCCTCTCCGCAGTGCTGTTCCTTTCATGCCTGCTTGTGAAGGGATATGTGCACCTGAGGCATTTTCCTTCTCTGACTTGAAAGTCACAGCTCTTCAGCACTTACCTCTATCCTTCATTCCCTGTTTTTTTTTAATCCACATTTGATCTTGCTTGCTGAATGCTGACAGGAACCAGATGAAAGGATTCCAGCCTTTCAGCTTCAGTGCTGGGCATCAGCCTGGATTTATATATGTGGTTTTGAGTGTGTGTGATTGTGTGTTTAATGCTGTGCGAGCATGCCTGCGCAGCTTCCACACATCTCCAGTAATACCATCATCAGGCATTTAAAACCAACATTTAAATCCCCTTGGATTCAAGAGACTGACTTTAAAAAGTTATTGAAGCATTTGATTTGTTTTCCTCATGGCTTTCTGTGATATCTTTTAACAAATGCAGTTGTATTCTCACCTATGTAGATATCCCATGTAGACCAGTTGAGAACTGCGGAGGTGGGAAGGGAAGTTGTGCTGGAGACAGGCAAAACGTCTTCTCTTGTTAGGTTTTTATAAGCTGTGAGACTGGACTGTGACTCTTGTGATTATTGAAGCAAAATCCTGCAGGAGTTGATCCTCTGAATGTGCTTGAAATAATTCTTGCTTGAACTGGTGAGTATATTTTCAGAACAGCACCTCATCTTGCTTCATACGACACTAGGGCTGGAATAGTTCTGTGCCTCATTCTTTTTCCTGTAGGAACATGCTTGTTACATTTACTGTGACTATTTCAGCCTTCTTATCTACAAGACCAAATAGTTCTTTAGCTGCCCTTCGGAGATCCTCAGCCCTTGATTGCAAGTTGTCCTCATCACCTCAGGCTAAGCTTGCTCTACACTGAGCCACACAGACACTCCAACAGTGACTTTCCCTGAGCTGACTGAAAGGAGCAGCTCTTGGCTTTCATTCTGGAAGGAGACAACTTATGTGTGGTATTTCAGTTGTCCTTGCTAGCCAAGTGAATGACAAAAAGACACCCCAACCAGCTTCCTTTGAAGCTCATCAGGCTACTTTTATTTAGTAAAAAGAAAGTTAAAAACAAATTCCTCTTAAATACACACCTTTATTCTGGTTGCCCTTTGCAACCATTAGGTACTGCCTTGTTTCCCTTAAAAAGAACATTAATCTGCTAATATCTTTTTCTTATACAGTAGTAATGCTCTACATGAACCTGTCTACTGGGAGAGGAGACCCTTACCCCACCTTGTGCTTCTGTTCCCATCAGAATGGCTCCCTCACTCTGGAATTGCTCAAAGGTGACTAGCAGGATAGGTTTAATGTCTGCAGCCCACCTACAAATGAATTGAACTCTGTGTAGAGTTACTAAAGTTAATGTCATGAAGTAATTCAGTTTGATTTCTCTGAGTCATACACAAAGAGGGATTTCCTGTGCTCTGCTCATCACTGCAGAGATGCCTTTTCCTCCATCAAAGAAAGAAAAGCAAATTGCAATTTGATGAGAGAAATAGCTTGTCTTTCTAATGTCTTCCTTACAGCTAGACTGCATCTTTCTTTCTCCATCAACTCCTTGGTGATTGGATGAGGGAAAAAATACACGTATGGAGAAGAGATTCCTCTGTAGTGAAGAGCTGGAAAGACAAAGTGCTACAGAGACTCAATAGAAGTAACTTAATATTGTTTCTACTTCATTTGTATCTCTGAAACAATGATCAAAGAGTTATTAGCCTCTCTTCCATCAGGGTCTCACTACTCCCTCTCCTCACATCTACAGTTATGCATGTTTTACAAGGGATAGTTTGTATAACAAGCTTGAAATAAGCTGACTCAGGTTCTGAAAGTGTCCTCACTGTGTCTGGACTTCAATGGCTGGATTCTGTGTCACCTACAGATATCCATCCAGAATAGTTTTACAGGCATGATATTGCTGTACATGTTATCTACCACTTGTGATCCTGATGGAACTTTACCTGCACTATTGTAGCTTCTCCTCGTTCAGAGACACCTTTCTAAGTGTCTGTTGTTGTTCTAGCTTCCCAAGTAAGCATACTAACTGAAACTGTGAATTATGGCTAAGAACAAAAAGAGGATGTTATTCAAAGAAATATGTGAGCCCGGGGGTAATCCAATCATTTCTTACCCTGTCACATCTCACCTACAAAACCTGGGAGAAACTCAGTTTTGGGCACTGCTTTAAGACCAGGGTCTCCAAGCTGTGCCCTGTGTTCTACACTGGCACCTTTGTCACCTTCCCCCAGAGCAGGAGAGCCCAATGAAGCGAGGTTCTCCTGGAGGCTCTGATGGGAGCTTTGATGAGAGCCATTCCTCTGCTGCCGGCTTGTGCTGTGGGTCGCCTTCCCAGGGGTCCAGGCTGGTCTGGAACTCCTTTTGGTGTGACTGTCGGGGCTCAGCTCATCCCAGGGCATTGCAGGGCTCTGCTCAGCCAGTGCTGCTCCCACAGCACCTGCACTGTGCTATGGACAGAGGAACAGTTAGAGCTTCTGTTTGTACACAGCAGAGCCCTGCTTGCAGGACAAAGATGCAGGTTGTACGTGTCTTAGTGAATGGCTCAGGCAGTCTCACCCTGCTGAATGGTCACCTCCTTACTTGTTGCACAGATCCCTGGCTACTTTCCATCTTCTTTTTCTTGGAGATTGTCGGATTCCAGTGGCACACCAGGCTGTCATTTTGGACACTGTAGTTCTTGTTACCAAGAAGCCAGTAGGTTTTCATTTTCCCTTTGCCCTGGGATGAGGAGAGAGCAGAAATTAGCTGTTTTCATGGGGTATGAAGCAGAGCAGAGAATCACTATGGCCAGAGCTACCACCTGTACCACGTTTGTTAACTCTTCTTCTCGGAAGTGGCTGCTCTTTGGGGAAAGAATGGTAATTTGTGTGCAGTTTGGGTGCTAGTAGTTCTTTCAGTTCAGAGAAAAGCCTTGCTGGTCACTGGCAGTGTTACTAAGGGTTTAAAATCAGCCTTATCAGTGTCTTTGTAACTGAATCCTAATGCTTTCAACCATATTCATGTGGTCCTGTGCAAGTGCAGACATAGCAGCTGGATTTCAAAGCACACAGTATCCCTGTTTTGTCAGTGAGGAGGAGTAATGTCTAGTCACTTCCAACTGAATTAGCAGAAGAACCTTGAGGCTATGGTTAAATATTGACTTACAATTCACAGAAGAACAATGGCCAAATCTATCATATCTCCTTCCTATCTCATTGCACATCTTTACTATTGCAAGGTTAGAGAAAAGCTGTTACCTTGACTTCAATTTCTCCTCTCAGTTCAATTTCATAGGCATCATCTGCGAGAAGGGCATCATATGTAGCAGAACTGATATGGATCTTCTGTGCTAGGATTCAGAGCAGAGCATTAGAAATGAGTGATTCTCCTATTCCCAGAGACCACATGCCAGCCCTCCGCATTTAGCAGCCCAGTGTTTCCATGTCCTGTTTGGAAAACATCAGTTGAAGAAGCACAAAGAAGGGGAAGATGGCTTAAACGTTGGCTGAGGACGCTGCAACAACTGTACATGCATGTTGGCTGAAACAGAGCAGCACAGTGCTGAACTGGGTGTGTGCACAGCAGCGCTGTACAGCAGTTAAAATAGGTAGTACTGGTAGCAAAGGCTGGACCAAGAAAGCATGCACTCCCCTCTTCTATATAGCCATTATATTTCTTAACAATATCTTTGTGTTAAAAGTCCTTAAAATCAAACTCTGCTCACCTATTTGGCTTTTGTCACTCTCTTTCTCCCCTTATTTCCAGTCACTTTCCAGAAGTGGCATAAGGGATGTGAATCTACGTGCCCGTGTGGATACACAAGAGTTTCCCTTGCTTATTTGATAACCAGTGAATGTACAGGGACAGTGGGGATTGCAGGTCATGCACGTGCTGGTTCTTTAGATCTGTGGTGAGTAGCTCTCTAGCCTGGGATATGCCACAGAGAATGTTCCCTCTGTACAAACCTTATTTCACACTTGGCTATGCACACACAACTTGGGTGTTAGGGGTTTTCCTTTGCCTGCAGCACCTAAGAGATGTGGAGTGTAGGTGTGAGCCTGATTGGCCTGTAAGGAACACACAGTGCCCAAGTGACTTACGCAAGCTGGTGGACTCCATGCGGGATGCTGTGTTTACAGTGTCCCCAAAAAGGCAGTATCGAGGCATTTTGTACCCCACAACTCCAGCTACACAGGGTCCTGGGAAAACACAGGGCAGAGAGGCCCCAGTAAGAAACAAGTGGGAGAAGTGCAGGGAGATGCCCAAGGTCCTTCAGAGAGTCAATGGCTTGCACAGAAATGCAGAATTCTTCTCACACAATTAGTCTGTGTCTTATTCTCCTTTTCTCCTGGCTCCACCTCAGCCCGCATACCTGTGTGTATCCCAGCCCGCAGCTGTAGTCTGCCCATTGGCATATGAGGGATCACGACTTGGCGAACTGCTGCCACCAGATCCAGAGACATTTTGGCAATCTCATCAGCGTGTTTGGTGCCATTCCTCTCTGGCAAGCCACTCACCACCATGTAGGCATCACCGATGGTTTCCACCTGATGGGAAGGGGCATGTGTCACTAAGTGGCAGGCAGCCAGCTTTACTTTCAAAGGGAGATCAGAATAAAACCTGCCTCGGCTGTCCACCACTTGCTGTGTAGTCCCTGTGGATTGGCAGGTTTGGGATTTCATGGCTTTTGGCCAGCTGGCCTGGTGTATTAGGTATTCCCTAAGGATCAAAGTAAGAAAGATTGCAGCAGCTTCCAGCTTCCTTGCCTGCAGGTTTGTACTCACCTTGTAAACATCATAAGACTCAATCCTGCTGTCAAAGCAGACGTAGAGATTGTTGAGCATCTCAACAACTTGCAGGGGAGTACAGGAGGCAGCGATGCTTGTGAACCCCACGATGTCCGAGAAAAAGATGGTCACCTGTTAGAGGGAGAAGGGAAGGGGGAAGCTCAGGTCTCCAGGCAACACTGGCTGAACCTTTGAAGATTTTGGGAACCTGTGAAATTCCAAGCAGAACAGCCAAAGGCACAGGCTGTGCATAGAACTGGTGTTACAGAACTTAATAGATACAAGCCTGAACTAACAAGCTCTGCCTCCAAATTGTTCCCTATTGCTTTGACAGATAGACTTTGGAGAGAAGCGTAACTTCATCATCTGCACTGCTCTGGATACCTTGTACAAGATGGGAGGCTGAAAGTCAAATGCTTTGAGCAGTGATCAGCAGACTTACTAAAGTAGGGCCTGATTTTTCTTTTCAAGTGATTTAAACTGTGGTAGAGATCTCAGCCAGGTATCTGAACAAACTGCAAAATACAAACCCAGCTGCTGTCTCTGCTCTTGCTGCATTAGGGAATATTAACTGGGTTTGGGTTCTCTTCAAATGATGTTTATCTCTGTTGTGATCAAGTACTTTACAGGGAAACTCCCTTTAAAAGAAAATCAAATTATAAAAGAAAGACCCACAGAAACCATAACAACTGAATTGAGGAAGGGAAATGAGCCTTATAGCTGTTGGCTAAGAATCCAGTGTTTCTTCTCTGTGCTGCCTGGACTGTGTCAGTGTTTAAGCTAAAATAGTTCTTTTATTCATCCTTGGTAATACCAATTAATCCAGAAGAGGCACCTTTTCACTCCCTGCCTTGGTTCAGCTACTTTTGATGTCATGACTATTGTGGATTCTAATTAATTGTGCAATTACAGGTTGTTGTTTTGATAATGACACCTCCAAATGAAATGCAAACATTTATTATTGTGTTTCACAGCTGAAGGTAATGGAGCATCCAGGAGAGAAGAGTAAATAGAATGGCAATTGCTGTAGCAGGAGGATTTTGGCTGTGGGCTATGCAGCACAGCTGCTGAATTCAGGAGGCAGCTCATGGTGTGTGGCAGAGCTGCCACATAAATGGGTGCCTGACTGAACTCTACCCTTGGTTTTATGTCAACAGGTTTCGTTACAGTTACACACTTGAGGCTCTAAGATCATCCATCCCTCTCATCCTCCTCTAAGTCCAATGCTCTCCTTTCTGTTTATGAAATAAGATGGAAAAGTACAGACGGGATTTGTCCTGTGTTGGTGTTTTGGGATTCATCCCATTTTACAAGGTGGAAACTCAATCCTTGCTCCTATGTACTCGTGATCTAATGATGCTGGCTGCCTCTCATGAGTAGGCTCTTAAAACCCAAAGGAGACAACTTGCTAATACAGGATCTTTGACATCTAAAGCTACACATCTGGAAACTTCAGCTGTTCCTCCTTCCCTGTCAGCTTCGTGGCTCATTGCACAGCTCTTCCCAAAAGCCATCGTGAATCCTTGGATTTTCATCCACACTCAACTATTGGTGCAAAGCCAGGTTCCTCCAAGTGGCAGCAAGGTAGGTGCTTTCTTAGGTGAATACTTTTCTCTCCTTGGTGACAGCATCCTATCCATTTGCTAACCTGGTCGTAGTTTTCTGCCTCAACTTTCTGGCGTTTCCTTAGCTGCTTGGCCACAGATTTTGGCAACATCTGGTGTAAGAGGTCCTCAGCTAGCTGCCTCTCCCTTTTCAAAGCCTCTGTCTTTTCCTTGAGGTTCCTGGCATAATTGTGTATCCAATCTGTCATTTGCTTGAAGGACATCAGGATTATGGGGTATATGAGGCAAGCTATCACTAGCAGACTGATCTTCAGGCTCATTGTGGAGACTATTTCTTTAGATTTCTTGAGGAGAATTTCCTGTCCCTTCTGCAGCAGGCAGCTCTGTGCATAATGCAGTCCCTTTACCAAGGTGGCAGTGGACACAAATTCATCTGAGCCCAGGAACGGGATGAAGAAAGGGATTCCTTCATAGTGTGTGAAATGAAGTGACAGATTGACGTTATCCATCCAGCACTGTCGTACGCTCTCTGAGGAGAAGATAGCATAGTTCAGAAGGGCAAAAAAATGATTCAGTTCTGTTTGAAAGCTTGTAGCTGCTGGCATCAAACGAGCTTTAAGCATGGCTTCTCTTATTTGAAGGATGAGTTTAAAAGCTACTATGTGTGCCCAGTCAGGATTGTCTCTCGTAGCTTTGAGGTCTTGGTGGGGACTACTGAAGTGCTCCAGCAGTTCAGAGATCACTCTGGACAGCACCTGTGTGGCATCAGTATCCCCTGTGCTATTTAATCTTTGTTTCACCTGAGGGATGTAAAACCCACAAATGGAGGTTTTCTCCTTCTTGCATTGGCAATTCTCACAACGCAGTTCTGCTTCACTCGCCTTACAGAGGGAATTTAAATTCCCCAAGAGCTGAGCAAGAAATGATCCGTTCCTCTCATCTGCTGCCGGGAACAGCCAGTTGTGCCTTTCTTCCTGCAGGAGATAGATGAGGCGAGCAGCCCAAAGGTTTTCACAGGAGGTGAGTTCCTGAAGGGCTTTCCCTGTGTTTCTCCATATTTCCAAGCTGTTGCTCACATCAAAAGAAATGGTTCCCAGGAGGCTGCAGAAGGAGACCACGCATGCTGTCAAAATCCTTTGAATTGTCTTTCTACCACCAGCATTGGAGGGGGGAGAACATCTACAAAAAGAGAGAGAATTCAGGGAAAGGAAAGAATTGGGGGTCTGATCCCTGTTTCTTCCTGAAAACATGTCTGGCACTAATGGCAATATTTACCAATTCATGACATTCTGAAACTAAGCACAGGGAATGTGCAGTAGCTGAATATGATTGCAAGACATATTTTATGATGTTTTCTTTAAAAGAAAAGCTGTGGTAAAGAGGCTGTTTCCATGATAGAGCCGCAGAAGCACGTTAACAGAATCAATCTGGTTTCCTGTGATATTTCAAGCATTTGCTGTAGGTTTTATTCTCTGCGGTATTTCTGTCCAGGTTTAGATAGAAGCACCCCAGGCAAGGTGGGTTACTTATCCCAGTGATCACAGACTGGAGCTGGTGGGGTTTTTTAATCAAACCTGTGGAAGTTGTTCTTAGTTGGAATTTCCAGATGATGAATACTTTGTGTCGGTGCGTTCAAATGAGCTCAGACACTGCCAAAAGATTGTCTAAAAAAAGGAAAATGAATAAAATGCCGGTTTTGTTTCAGTTTTTGCAGCAGACGCATGTCCATGTTTTACTGTTTGAGCTTCGTGACTGCAGTTTTCTGTCCTTCTTTCATGCCGCACATAAATGACACCCAGGCTCCATACAGCAAAGTAAAGATCTTCATTTTCAGAGCTATTAATCAGTTACAATCTCACATTTATAATACTCATGGAAACAACTCAGGAGGTATTCTTAAGCTGTCGATCCTGAATAACCAGACAGCCCTCATTGCCACTGATAAAGCACAAACCTGGGACTGGGTTGATGATCAGTCCCGACAGCTCCATCCTTCTTTTTCCTTTTCTCTTTTCCTCTGCATAGTAGAGGTGATGGAAAAAAAGCCCTCCTCAGATCCCCAGTTCTTTTAGAAACATGAAGTTCTATTTTTAATAAGAGAAATAAATCCACCTATATAAAGCCTGCTATTTCTCAGCAGAGGCTGGTATTAGGCAAATGAAGTTTCTGCTGGGCTCTTCACAGCAGAATGGTGGTCAATGGGTGTAAAATAGATAAAAATATTGAAAGTGCAGTGCCCAAAGATGATAAAGAGCCACATTTTATGTATTTAATACAATATATATTTATCTGTATTTAATACAACATATGTTTATCTATATTTCTTTTCAATCTAAAGGTAACAAATGCAAAAGTCTCACTGAAAAGAGCCGCAAGCCAAGAAAAATTACTCTCTGAACCCAGACACATTTCTGTTCTCACAACGAATTTCCAGTCTTTTCCTTACTCTGCCTATTGCTTACCTTGGAGTCACCTGTGCTCCCTTTTTAATCAGTTATTTTATCCTGAACCTACCTATATATGTGCCAGGAGGGAGAAGAAAACCACAACAGAAACCCACCTTGATTTTTATACTGCCCACCTTCTGTGACAATGAAAGAAATAGAAATAGGGGGGTTAACTTAATACTAGGCTAAAGGTGGTGATTCTGCTTGTGCTGTGCAAAGAACCCCATTTGTGTCTGTGTGTCAGCTGGCGGTGACAGTTCAGAGGTCTTCACCCACCATGTGAATGGCTTAAAAAGGAGCAACAGGGATATGAAGGAGATGGCTCTGCAGAGATGCTGCCGGCGCTCTCTGCTGGGTTTTACCCTTCCCCTTGCTATGTCCCAAGACCACAGGGTGTTAAAATCAATCTGTAAAAGCATTTTGCAGCGCTCCCCACTCACCTGCATGGACCAGCTTGCACCCGTGCTGTCTTCCCATGGGGCATCACCACTGCTTGCTGTGGTGAGTCCTGCTCAGCAGCTGCCTGCTGCCTTCAGCCCTGCCTGCGCCTTGCTTTGTCACCCCTACGCCCCGGGTGGCTCCTGTGGCTCTCTGACTCTTCCTGCTGCCCAGCCTCTTCTCAGCAGGCTCACATCTTCCCCCAGGTGAGGGTAGCAAGCTCCAGCCCGAGGCAGGGAAAGGCTGTAAAAGGTCTCTGGTGTTATCATTAAATACAGTCTCCAGTCTTAAGAATACACAGGAAGAAGTGGCAGGGACACACGTTTTTCTTTCACCTTGTGAAACATGGTGTATATTGCAGTATGATTTGGTATAATCTGTTGTTAAAAGTGTAATTTCCCAGTTGTTTCTGATCACAGGTGTCACCATTAGGACTTTATTCAAACTGTTTCCCTTCTTGGTATCTATCATCCAGTTCTCTTTGGGTTCTATAGACATGTAGAACAAGTGAAAAATCAGATCATGAGCCCCACGAATTTGTGAAGGTTGAAGCCAAGATGCAGGATTTAAATAGCTGAAGTAATTCTTTACATTTTAAATGTTAAAATTTTAAATAATGAATAATAAAAAATAACAATTTTAAATAATAAATTTTAATTTTAATTCTTTACATAAGAATGTTGACTCTCAGTGATTTTTTAAAGTTTATATTAAAAAAGAATCGATTGACTTGAGCAGGGTGTGCTGCTTCCTAGGGTGCAATTGCAACAGTCAGTGTTATTGATGAATACAAGCTTCTGAAGTCACACCAGTAAAATCTTCAGAC